CGCTGACAGTGACCACGACTGGTACTATATGCGACAGCAGCGCTATCGTTCGGTTTGTAACGAGCAAATGGGAAACGAGTTTGCTCAAAAAGCGCTTGCAGCGCGGGAAACCCACATTATTATTGTTTTTTGTTTTGTTAGCGTTTATACACAAATTGCTTATAATATTTATATTTTATAACTGACTTCAAAAAAGGAGGAGGTTCTTAATTCGACTGCAAATATTTTTTGTGTGTATATTGCGCGATTACTCCGACATATTTTGTGAATCGATTTCAATGATTCTTTTTTTTGTTGGTAAAGGAGTAGCTTAGTTGTGGTCAAATTTAGGGCATGCAAACCGGTTACCCGGTACACCGAAAAAACCGAATAACCGGCCATTTTGGAATCTAGTTTTCAGCTAAGTTAAAACCGGGTTTTTCGAGATTTTCGGTTTTGTCTTTAAACTAGTAAAACGTAAGTTAGTAACTAATAATATCATTGTATCCTAGTAAATAATGATAAATAAACGTTAATTAAATGCTAGGAACTCGGGTACCTAGTTACAGGACAGCGACAGCGTCCTCAAGACGGAAACGGGTAAATGTTGGAGTAGCGAGGAGTGAGTGAGGTGCGCGATGGAGGTACGCGAGCAGTATAGCAACAAACCAGAGTCACCTACGCTCTTAGCAGGCTTTTCAACTGAATCCTAGGCGGCTAGTTGGTATTCAGCAGAACTATCCTATAGGTGGCAGCAGTACTCTATACACGACCGGGTCTGTCCTTGGTACTGCTTTTTTGAAGCAACTGTTTCGGTGTGAAGTAACACCTCGCCTTCACCTTGGGAACAATGTCAAACTTCCTGGCTGCATTTTTGGCCATGAATTCTATGTATCTGCCTAAGTTCCAAAGCGTTGTTTCTGATGTTAGTAGTATAGTCCTGGGAGGTTGTTAGTATTTTACAAATAACCCCGTAAAATATATATTTATATTATTTAATTTTAGTAAACGGTCAATTCCTTTATTATTTGTAAAGTGAAGTAGCTACTTCGTTTAAAATGTTGTAATGATATGATTTATTCGATACCTAAATAAAATTTGTTCAGTATTAAAACCTTGTATAATTTCAAATCTCTTAACCTTAACTAAAATAGTTAACAATAATGGACCTTCTGGCTTTTATTTTTACTACATTGTTTTTCAGGTTGTAGCATTAAGAAGATCCGACCATAATCGTCGCGTTCATCATGAGCGGACGTAAAGTAATATTCGCATAATTTGATTTAGATTGTCATATTTTGCCATTTCTTTTTTTTAGCAAGTAGCGGGACGAACAAGTCGTGTGCCTGGTGACGAGTGACACGCCGATCCATGACAGTTACAGTGCCACTCAGATATTTAAATCGCAATGATCTGAGGGGCAGTGCCACTACGCCCGTCGTCGCCCTGAGACGTAAGTTGACAAGTCCCTGGTGATTGTAATTTCACAAGCACCCTCAGTACGCACTTGGGGCACTTGCACGGAGTCTTGTTTACCTAACACAGCATTAACAACTCTTAGCAAGAAGTAAACTTTAACGTTTTTATATATTCCGTTCTGTCTTACGCACTTACGTCGCTTGCTCGGAGTCTAGTTTACACAACACAGTATTAACTTAAATTAAAAGAAATTAACTTAGGGTTTCACGATAGAGACGTATTTATTTACGCCGCTCTTGCTTACTCACTTGAAGAACTTGAACGGAGTCTAGTTTACTTAAAACAGCATTAACAACTCTTTGCAAGACATTTATTTACGTCGCTTTTGCTTACGCTCTTGTAAAACTTGAATGGAGTCTAGTGTGCACAAGATAGCATTAACAATGTCTTTGCGATACAGACGTATTTATTTATGTCGCTCTTGCTTACGCTCTTGTAAAACTTGATCAAGTTTACATAAGACAGCATTAACAATACTTAATAAGAAATACAATTTATGTTTTTGCGATAGAGACGTATTTCTTTATGTCGCTCTTGCTTATGCTCTTGTAAAACTTTTACGGAATCCAGTTTACATTATCACAATAATTGTAATAAAATTACGTGAATAACTCTTTTCAACGTCAACTGTATTCGGCCTTCAATCAAATTTGTTAAAAACATTCTTATAATGAGAATGTTAAGTACAATTGCAAGTCAATTTGTTATAGCCCATGGACATTGTTTTCAGCACGGCTGAGTTCTAAATTATAAATGACTTAGTTTTACGACGATGACCATAAATTTATATTGTGGTTTTCCATTGTAACGTTTACTAAAAGACCGACAAGTCAGGTATATAAGCTTTATGAAAAGTGGAGAAAAGTCAATATTATCGCTTAAGATATTGTACCTTACACATTTTGGTGTATCAGCCCAGATCACTCTACATCAACCTTAGTAAAATAAGCCAAGTATCCTCCGTACAAATAAGTACGCACTGACGCACACATTGAAACATCGTCGTCTAACGCGCGCACTGAAAGGCGCGTTAGACGACCTGTGTTTTGCAAGGCGAATGCATCGCGAGAATTGCGAATGTGTACGTCTGTACACGGCACGAGGTGGGCACGCACATATACAAGCTTCGCTGCTACGTTCGTATGAAGTTGCCATACTAGTCTTATCAATAAGCTGTGTGGCAAGGAAACACATTATTTTTATGGTAGCAGTAGCGCTCCTTGTGAAAGAGTTCGTCCAGGGAAGTACTGCCACCATAACCTATTTCTGTCGCCATGTGGTAATGTGATCATTACTGTGTTCCGGTTTTGAATGATAATCTTACTTGTGTGTTATATGGCCCTTATTGTGAATTGCACTCCAACCGCACAGAACAAGTACAGAACAGGGCTCTTAAAATTGTCGCATTCCGATCGGATCTGGACCGCACTCTTGCAACTTACCAAAAGAGGTTAGCCAAATTCAAAATTTGTTCACTACGGACCCGACGTAAAATACAGAATATTGTTGTCTTGCATAAGCTCATACACGGTAACCTTGTTTCTCCTAGTCTGCTATCTCACATTAAGTTTAACATTAAACCTTATCTTTGTCATCCTAAAACCTTTGTGTTGAATGTTTATCGAAATAATACATCCTTTAATAACCCCGTGACTAGAATGTGCCGAACCTACAATGATTTAGGTACTCATATCAGAATCTAGAGGTCACATTGATGTTTTCGACAACAATCTTTCTATCTCCTCAAATATTTCAACTCGTCTTCTATTAGTACATGCATTAGCACATGGGACATATCAACTTGTGTCTCAGGGAGAGACGGGCGCAGTGGCAGTACCCGTCAAATTTTTGCGATTTAAAGCTTTGAATGGCACTGCATAACACTGTTATGGTCAGGCGTGTCGCTTGCCAGCAGCCGCAGCAGACTTGGTCATCCCGTCAGGTAACTATAAAAAAAAAGAAAATATTTCGCAGAATGACAAAAGAATCTGTACAAAATTATAAATCACCACAGTGGAATGCAAATTCTTTTTTTAATGAAAGACGAACTCACGACATACCATGCGTGAACAGCATTAGCTTATTGAACACTTAACCTAAAATTTAACGACTGTCACCTTTCGATTCGATTAGTACGGCATTAATGAGGTTCGTCCTAGTTGGTGCAACCGGCTCTAAATAATATTTAAGTGTTCAAACTAGACTCCGTAAAAATTTTACAAGAGCATATCAAGAGCGACATAAATAAATACACGTCTCTATCGCAAAATCATTAATTGTATTTCTCCTTAAGTGTTGTCGCTGTGTAACAATGAATTATGTTGGTAAATAATCAAAAAGCGATTTAATGAATAATTATGGATTAAACCGCGGTAAATAAAGAGCTTCAAACTTGTCCCTGAAAGGTAAAGAGGTAATTATATCGAGTTCTTAAGTTTTCGTGATAGCTTAACTGCCTCTGTGGCCGAACGGTTACCATGACTGCCACGCAGAGGTCCCAGGTTCGATTCCCGGGTCGGGAGAAATATATTTATTTATCTCGTGAGTTTGTGTGTAATTTGTGGTGTCTATGTGTGTGTCCATGGCACCCGCTACACAGGGTTTCCCTAGTGCGGGGCTATGTTAAGTGTGTGCGTTATTATTATTATTATTATAGTTACACATAGGAAATGAAACTATTTTGCTCATATTTGAATCCCGTATATTTGTTTTTTCAAGCAAACCAACGTTTCGGGCCTGAGACAGTCAGGTCTGAAACGTGACCATGAGGTCTGTAAAGAACCCGACACGTTGTAGGTTTGTTTAAAAAACAAATATACGTGATTTAGATCCGAAATAATCTATACAGAGCAGGTACTAAAAAACCGACCTTAAGAGTAAGTTTGTGGAATTAAGTAAGGAAAGTGCGCGAAACCGGATTCATCCCCTAATTTTACCACCCTTAGAGGTGGAATGTTTTCTTCAAATTATAAAGAAAATATTCCACAAATATTCCACAATATATCTTTAAGAAAAACTAAAATCTTACCAAAAAAAAAGAATCATCAAAATGTGTTCAGAAATTCCAGAGTTATCGCGTAACATACATACAACAAAAAAATACAGTGAAATTGAGAACCTCCTTTTTTGAAGTCTGTAGAAATAGTTTAATTTCCTCTTTGGTAGATTACGCATTGACACTTAAACTGCCCTGGAAGTCTAGACTGTGTAGGAGATATTATAATAATCAATAGTATTAGATGTTGGAAACAATTGATGAAAAACAAGCTTTATTCGGAGCCTAAAAAAGTATGTACACTTGCACCTGGTAACTGAACACGCGCATATAACAATAGGCTATCGGTGATTACACGGCTAACAATGGGCACTGCAAACTATTTTCCGCTCTTATAATCTATAGACTCATTCCGATACCACTTCGCGTGTCGGCGAATCAAAATTTACAAATCCGCATGTGCTGCTTTTCTTCGACCGTTGACAACAGAAACCTGCTTCTGATTCCACTGTTATTCCGAAGCGTTGCATCGCGCCAGCAGCACGCGCCGACGGTTATCAACGCCATTAAAATCGGAAGAGAAAATCAAAACAATATTCGATAACCTATTCGTTTCGCTGGTTTTAAAAAAAGTACACTATTTACAAACTAATATGGACGGCTGATCAAGTGTCGCTTCAGCTACGTAGTGAATTGTTCAACAGTTAGCGATTGTAAACGCAAACGGACGATAGTTAGAAATACGTATTAATATACTTAGGAAGTGTGCGGACGAACTTGTTCCTGGGAAGGTCAAGAAATTTGAGACGATACAAATAGTGTTTATAAATCAAATTAAGACCTCCAAACGACAGATGGTAAGTGCTCCTGTTATTCTCATGTGCAATACACCTAAGATTAAAGCATCCAAGCATCTACTTGTAAGGCAAAATGCTAAGTGAAAAACATTGACACCAGAAAACAAATAAACCATTCAATAAATATACATCATTCATTAATCAGTCACATTTATCACAACAAAAGATTAACCACCAGGATTTCAATATTCTAATGTCATTGTCATGCATGAAAGAACTCTCTTAGCATGAATTAAAGTCGAGGTCGTAGTACTGATAATGCAAGTGCCAGAATTCACTAGGAGCTGTGGCGAAAAATTCCAATTTTCAGTAGAACTGAGTACCCGTATATGCACAGCACGTTATTGGAACACCTTTCTATGTAAGAGTTTTCTGGAAATGTTTGGTGACTTTCTACATTGCCTTGTATGACAACTAGCCTATAGTTCCTGTATAAATACTACATGATAAAGGTAATACGGGTTCCACTATAAACCAAGTTTTATAATTATACATATAACAGGTTACAATTAGGAGTATTATTTCCGGATCTAAATTGCGTATAAGTAATTGTTTTTACAAACAGAAACCCGAAACGTAGGTTTTGTTTCAAAAAACAAATATATGAAGAAAAAAATGCTTCATTTTCAATGTGTGTGAAAACCTAAGAATTCAACGGATAAAAGATATTACTAATTGGCAAGTAAAATCCAAATTTTACGCATAATTATACGGTTCAAATTAGATACGAATGACGAAAAACTGAAAAGATAAATACATAGTAAAGTATGTACAATTTATAAGCGAAATACAACACACAATAACAGTAAGTAAAAAAAAAAAGTAAGAAAGATACCTTTTAAAACAATTTTGGAAACTTCGCACATATCGCAATTAACTTGATAGTCAATTGAATATTATACCAAAAGAGTCTAACTCTTTGGAAATATATAACAATTATACCAAAGCGAGTTGGAAGTAAAGGAACTAAAGGTTTACCAAACGGAACAGTCTTATAGGTCATTTTCTGGGTGTTTTTTATCCTTTGATCAAACAACGCTTTTATGGTAGTGATATGTAGGACGTGTAAGAAAATATCAAAGATACCCATATTGATATTATCCTTGTTGAAATAAATTGATATTCTGACACAATGCAAAATACATGTTAGATAATAACATAACCTTATGAAAAATATAACAATGGCTATTTCAAGTTCACAACAGAAATGACCAAATAAAAGATCACGATAGTAAACGTGCAATTGTATTGCTTAAATTATAATACAATGAATAACTACATTTATATAAAGTATTTTGAAATATGAAAAATCACGTAGCTAATTGCGTAAAATGATGTTGATAAGAAACCACGCGTATGCCTTGTTCACATAGAAATCGTAAAAACTTTTTATGTGACACTACCAATACGTTTTTATTTAATTTTTCATGCAAATAAGGTACATTTCGCATGACAAAGTCGTTTATTTGTTTAAAATTCACCGTGTTAATCGCTATTTGGTAATGGTCTTCCAAATCCTAATACATTTTACATACTTAACATAAGTGGCACCGCGCCATCTAACTACAATGCCGACGCCTCCACGGTTTCTTAAATCAAAATGAGGGGAAAACAACACAGTTTATTTCTGATGGGAACCAGCACGGAACTCAATAAGATTCCAACTATATCCACCTGTGCTTTAACTGACTTAAAAAGAGCAAGCTCTTAATTCGACTGTATTTTTGTTTTGTGTGTATGTTATCGGATGATTCTGACATTTCGCACTGCTATTACAATAGTGTTATTACAATAGTAGTAACTCAAAATATGTGAAATTTAATATTATGTCATTACTGAACGTAAACGTTGATCCTCTACAAGTAAAAAACCGTCGTTAGAATATTGTAAGAAACAATCAAAAGACATCTACTTAATTCAAAATGAAACACATTTTATGTGAGCTATTTTTGGCCAAAATAATCCTTATTCAAAAACCTGAAATAATTTTTTCCATTGTATTTTTAAATATATTTGAGAAATTGCTTAAGTGTCTATAGTAAACTATAACATATAAATTTTTATGATTTTTGGCGGGAAGTGAGTAATTCGTTTTTCATCGATTCTGAGAAAGTCCACATTTTGAGTTAATACACTATTGTATTAACAGTGCGATTTGTAAACCGATTTCGATGATTCTTTTTTGTTGGAAAGGGGATACCTCAGTAGTGGTCCCATACAAGTTTGAAGGAAATATTCCACCTCTAAGGGTGGCAAATTAGCGGATAAATCCGGTTGATTGGATTTCACACACTTTCCGTTAACCGATTTCAATAAAACTTGACATATACATATAATTTTATAAACTTTTGAGGTCGGTTTTTTTTATGACAATGTTATGTAATTATTGGTATTTTGAAGCTTCAAATAATAACAGTAGATGGTACGAAATTATTACTCTACTTATTATATTGATTCATACAATAGGTAACAGTCAACTTTGGAACATTCTTATAGCTAAGGAATTAGAGTTGAGTCTCTAACTTGACGTGCTCTTGACTGTGTATTTCAAAATCACACAAAATAAACGCTAAGCAGAAATCTGTCCGCTCTAGCGTATGTAGCCATAAGTATACCAAGGATTATCGTTTTACGTTATTATAAGACTTATGATTTGAAAATATTACTTCAATTCAACAATGTAGTCAATGATGTCAACAGCATTCAGAGCATTGAACACGTTCAGTTCGTTGACAATAATGTATTCTTTGGAACAGTAACGTGGTTCTTCTGTAAAGCCAGCCAAGTTTTGTTGCAGCCTGTCTATACACATGGCAAACTTTGGAGAAAGTGCAAAAATAAACCTAAAAATGTGAAATATATATTTTTTAAATATTTTTAACCGACTTCAAAAAAGGAGGAGGTTCTAAATCGTCTGTATTTTTTTCTTGCATGTATGTTACGCGATAACTGAGGTACCCTCAAGTAGTGGTCTCATTTAAATTTAAAGAAAATATTCCACCTCTAAGGACGCGCTTTCCGTTAACCTATTTCAACAAAACTTGGCAAATAGATAGTGTAATTCCACGAACTTTTAAGGTCGGTTTTTTTAGTACTTTTTTATATACAAAAAGCGATATTTATTGCGTAAATTATTTTTTTTTTCACTGGAAAGAAGGTACCTCCATAGTGGTCCCATTTAATTTTGAAGAAAATCATCCACCTCTAAGGGTGGCAGTTCACGCATGAAGATTCATTTTTATAAATAACGCCTAAATTTCATTATAAGGAGCAATTATTTTAATGGTTGATTTTGCTATTCTCCAAATCAAGGCGATTATCTCCCTCAATATACACTGAGTAGTGAGAACCGATTTTATCCTGTGTTAAGTCCCGTATAGTGGCGAACTAGGGGATGAATCCGGGTTTGCACACTTTCCGGTAACCGATTTCAATAAAACTTGGTAAATATACGTAATTCCACGTACTTTTGAGATCGGTTTTTTTAGTACTCTGTACTGACATTATTATTGTTCAATCCATTAGTCATCCAGTCCTTAAAAATCGCAAAATCTGTAGTCTGTAGGAGGGCTGATGGCCCATCGAGCATACTTGTTCTAGAGTGGCGACCTCGTCATGGCAAACGTGTAGGACGCTGCACAGGACGGGCGCATGATGGACGGACGACCAGCGTGCTGATTTTGATTCAAATCGGAATCGACCCGATCGGGTAGTCTCGAAATCAGATGGGTTTCTGAGCGAGAAGATGAACCTGATTCCTACTATATCTTTCTAATTTGTGAGTTAAATCAACTATTGTTCCTATTTGAAATGTCAAAAGTTTCCAATCGGCCAGTTGTGTATCGCAATTATGCGCCTCGACTCGGAGTTCGCAGTTTCCGATCGGGAGAGGCAATCAAAATCAAGCTGCTGAGAAAGGTGGCCGAAGCGGCTGGACGCGGGCGGTACCTATGAGACCGGGAGAGTTGGCGTGCTCAGGGGGGCTTTTGTCCAGCATAAATGTGTAAACGAAAAATTATATTGAAAGATCATCTTTTCACTAATTTTTAATAAAAGTATGTAATAAGTTTACAACGGAGTATACTAACCTGTTTTAAACGTCAAGTTTCCGTATCCAAAGACCCGTTTTAACCCGAAAAATTTTAAGTTAATTTTTTTGCATATATTTATAATATTAATACATTTTATAAATGTTATTAATTGAACACACGCAACTGTAGCTCAAAAACCACTGATGGTTTATCCATCCACAACGATTGTATTTCACATTTTAAAACCCGTTTTAATCATACTTCTAATGACTAACTACGCAAACATTGCTGCCAAAAGTCAATGCAGGTACCAGGGTCAAAAAATAATTTACCAGTCCAACGGAGTCATTAATTTTACAGTATATAATAATATATTATAGTTAAGAAACCTTTAATCCCGTAGCGATATATAATATATATAGCGAACGACATGAGCGTGAAAATTATAATAGCAAGATAACAAGTGATACATTAATGAAATACGTTACCAATCCAGTCGTGAACTTCCGTAAAGCACAAACAGTTTGGAAGCTTGTAGTAGTAAAATTTTTTGTCTTTCGGGACAGGCGTCAAATTGTTCATACTGCCAGATCTTAGAAGGTATTTTTTTTAAATAGTATATTTTTCCGACTTTTTTTCAATGGTTTAATTTTCTAACAATTTTTCGTGGGAAATCGTTATATCTTTAAGGTGGCCATTTTCCGTTTCGAAGCTTGGATTTGACAAAACAAACTAGTATATTTGTATTTTTTTATAGTAACTGGACGTATTAAATCTTATCCATGGCTAAATTCAATTTCTTGCACGTAATGGAAGTGACTCACTACGAAATTAAATTATGAATTACGTCAACAAAATATTACGCGTTTTTGTTACTTAGTTAGTGTGTCCTTTTTTTGCTCGGTGTGAATACTCGAAGGTAATTTGAAGAGATCCGTCTAGCATTTACCCAGGCAGCGTGAAGCGATT